CACCACCTTCTCAACCCCCTCACCCCCAGGTTCCTCAGAGGTGAAATGCCCTTCATTGGGTTTCTAAATCTCTGAGTCACCAGCCTCACCTGCGTGCTTCATGGATGGTGACATTTTCTGCCCCCTTCCTGAGGCAGGGAAGCAAGGCAGAAGGGACACCTTTGGTATTGGGAATCCAGCCCCCAACCCCCATGGTCTGCTTTATGTTACATGTCCCTTTACATAGTTCCCAGCCTGTTCCATCCTTTCCCTTCAAAATGCCTATTGGGCATACCCTGTCTCCTGCCACCCTCACCCACAGGCCAACACATGGCTATTTCCCTGACAATTACACTAGAAATAAGAAGCCCCTTCCACAGATGCACACAAACCATCAGCAGCACACATCACAGTTACACTCACACTATCACACAGTGGCTGGAGTATAGTCTTGCCCTATCAGATGTGCCCATTTTAGAAGAACAGTTACAGAAACACATTCTTATCCTGTTACAGAAAACACATTTACCTGCCTTCTCACTGACATCCAGCCTCACACAGACAAATCCAGTTGTAAAAATGACCTAGACACCTTTCCTCTCTTACAGCACCCTTACTGACGTGTTTTTCTTGCAGCCTAATAGGGTACTATCCCAACAGTCTAACACTGATACATAATAGACAATACATATTTGTTGGATAAATTAACAAATTAGTCCTGAAAGACATGCCCGGCATGTCTGCACAGCTCCCCTCACTGTCATGCACTTTCACACCCGCTTTCCCCTTGTGGATGCAGTCCCACAAACACAAAGTAATTAAGTTATCACAAACCCCCGTAAGCTACAGGACAACCCCTGGCCCAGGGGTCTCTCCCAGAGCGGGCAGGGAGCCGGGTGGGATCCAAAGAGGCCTCTGCCTGTGGCTGCGCCCTCCCTTTTCTCCTCCCCCTGCCCCAGCCTCGTCCCAGCTGCTCTTCTTTTAATTGGAGGTACTTATTATCCTGCAGGCAAGGGGAGGGGATCTGGGATGGCACTGGGGTTGGGGGTGGTGTTACCAGGGGGCCTAAGGGCTCAAAGGCACCTAGATGTGTGCAGGGTACTCCTGCAAAGCATGGACCACCTCTGCCAAGTTTGGTGTTGAGAAAGCAGCTCGTAATGAATGCAGTCAGAAAAGCAGCATTTGAGTCCAGTCTCTGCCTCGTTCCAGGTTTCAATGAGTCTGTTTTCTCATCTGTAAAATGGAGAGAATAGAAGCCACATGACAGGACTATTGAAAGATGAGATGGGGTAACTGTGACTGCAGATGCCTAGGACATCACCTGTGCTTTATGCTTCCTAAAAGGACTATTCTGCAAGGTATGGAAAAGCGCTGTGGAAACACTGAAGCTGCACTGACTACAAGCTCTGTGGGAGTCTCCTCCTCCATTTCGGAAAACTGGCCAACCTGTAGCATGGTGCTCAGGTAACACTGGGAGGTGTGGTGGGGGGCAAAGCCCAGTGAATCCTCACCCTTTTGTTTCTAGGCAGAGATGGGACTGAGAGAATAACCCTGGCCCCTCAGCAACTATCTCAGCGGGGGACAAAGGCTGAAGTTAAAGTGGACTCAAAAACTCCAGATGTGGGGAGACCAGCACCTCAGAACTAGATTGGGATAAAAGCTGATTCATAGTAGGAGAGGTGAGTGGGAAGCACTGAAGCCATCAGGCAGGCAGGCACCTGTGAGGGCAGGGAAACGTTAGGATGTCCCTGGGTTTCTGGGTTTTGATGAGTCAGTCTTAGTGGGCTACTAGGCAACTGTGACCTCTGCCACAGTTGGGTCAGCAAGGGTAAAGTCTCCTCCCAGGTACCTTGGACAACTTGTGCCAGACCTGAGGAGGTAAGTGAGGCAGATGTCCAAAGAGCTGGAACAAGCAGGGTTGGAAAGTCAAAGGGGCTGTAAAGTCCATCTGGATGAAGAAGGAAGGAGAAAGAAGAAAAGAAGAGTTAGAAACACTCAAGGGATTTCCAGCACAGATCAGAGAGTGGCAGAGGAGTTGTTCCGAGGGTAACCTAGAAAGACAGGGTTTTCATTGTGGCAGGCAGAACTGTGTTTAGACCCAAATGTGACTTCTTGACCAAAAGGAGGAAGGCAACTGGGACCCAGCCTCATAGGAAGCTGAAGCTCCCTCTGCATCATTTTCAGCCTCATACAGAGAAAACAGTTCAGATCTGGGGTTCCGGATCAATCCTCTTATGTCTGTGGGACTTTGGGAAAGTTTGTTCATCTCAAGCCTCAGTTTTTGTTTCCTTTTCTAATAAATGAGATATAATTTCCTACAGTATCATACAGAATATCCTTTAACTCATACAATTCAGTGGTTTTTTAATTATATTCACAAAGTTGTGCAACCATTACCACCATTTAATTCTAGAATATTTCCATCTCTACAAATAGAAACTTTGTATGCATTTGCAGCCAATTCCTACTCTCCCCACCCCACCAATCCCAGCTCCACTAATCTACTTTCTGTCTCCATGGATTTGCCTATTTTGGATGGTTCATATAAATGGATTCATATAACATGTTGCCTTTTGTGCCTGGCCTCTTTCACTCAATGTGAAATAATAATATTATGCTGTATGGATATACCACATTTAATTTATCCATTCATCAGATGATGGATATCTGAGTTTTTTCTACACTTTGGCCATTATGAATAATACTGCTATGAACATTCATTCCATTTTCTTAATTATTTAAAACTGAGGATGTTTCTATTAATTTCACAAGATTGCTGTGAGTCTTAAATGAGATCAGTGCCTGGCACACTAGTTTCTCAGCAAAATATTTATGTTTATCTCTGCTTTAGTTTCCTCAAGATAAGAGACAAGAGACGCAGGTTCAGACAACTTCCAAAGTAAGTTCTGGAACCTCCTGTGTAGAGGTGTAGTATGCCTGACTGGGAGGGTGGAGAGGAGAGAACTGGCAAGGGAATAGAGCTTAATGTTTACAAACGACCACCAGCTTCATACTTGGCTTTGTCTTGAGGGGCCTTTGTCCACCTGCCTGGAGCCCAAGCAACGTTTTTCCCATAGAAATGTGCCACCAACCAGCAGCCAGCTTTCCAGGACACCCCATAAAAGCAAATTGAACCCCGCTTCTCCATTGATCAAGTCATTTAGCCTTGCTGAAATGTGGTTTCCTTGAATCCATAAAATGGGAATAATCCTTGTCTTGAAGAGTTGGTGTAGAGTTTATACCCTACATAACACTTTCCATCATCTGGCTTATTGCATTTGCTTCTTTGTTTCCTCTCTCACTCATGCTGTGGAATATAAACTCCATGAGGACAGGAACTTTGTTGTGTTCACTACTGTTTTCCCAATGCCAAGAACAGTGACTGACACATAGTGGATACTCAATAAAATATGTGTTGAATAAAGAGGTTCTTTCATTCATTATTTACCCAAGATGAGTATATTTCATGCACTCCACAGGGAGGAACAGAGATGAGGAAACCATTCCCTGCCTCCATGGAGCTCTCTTCAGGTTACAGTAACACATATGGTCAAAGCAAGTAGATTGCAATGAGACTTGTTAAGTAGAATGTGAGCCACCGCATTCTAGCATCTTGTCTGATAGATAGCCCCTCCCTGAAGACCTGTTGAATCTGAACTAGACCAGAAATAGATCCCAAGTGATCTAACCTGTGCCCTTACTAGGGCTTGGCTCCTAGGAGGGAGCAGACATTTCTCTACTAGAGAGGAGAAAGAGAGGAAGCAGAAAAAGGGAGTTTCCTTCTTCTCTCCTGGGCTCTAAGCCAGTCAGCCACAGGCAAAACTTTGAAAAGGCCTAAATTTGTCCTAGCTGTACTTCCCTGATCTTGGTCCCACCATACCCAGCCCCCACTGCCTTAAGCCCCTAGGCCTCCCTTCCAAGATTCCAAAAGTAAGAAAATAATTCCTTCCCCTTGCTACAATCCAAAGCTTTCTTGCTTGGAATAATCAGCCCTGGTGAAAGCAATCTGATTGAATTCATTCACATACTGTGAAAACTGCTTCTTGGGACTTCTATTTAAAAGGAAAGGGGGTATCTTGGGCACCTCCGCAGCAGGCCCCAAGCCAATTCCTCTGACTTGTGACTGCCTTTCAGGAAGCTTCCCTTCCTCAGTTTCTCTAAATAGGCTGAGGTGCGGTTGCTGCTGACTTTTTCAACAACAAATGCCACTGTTCATAGGCCCGTGTTTTAAAAGACAATCCTGAACTCACCTTCCTGTCTGGGAGGCATACCCGGGGGAGCAGACAGCCTTCTACCTTCTAACAAGCCAGACGAAGGTGGGAGTAAATCTTCTGGTTGACAGGCTGGTGCTTCCCGGCTGAGCCCCGGGGAGGTTCTCCAGTAGCTCTGGGTGCCCCTTCCCCAGAGGCCTGGCGGGCCAGCTCCTCTGGCCCAATTCTAAGCGAGGGGGTGGCTCCCGTCCGGCGGGGAAGAGGGCTCTGACCTCCACCTCCTTGGGGCCATCTGTCCATCCGTCTCTGAAAATGCCAGCCTCCTATTCTTTCTCCTTTGAAGCCTCTGTTTCGCCTCTTCTCTCTCTCCTGAACTACTTTGCGCTTCGGCCTCAGTCGCTCCGTCTCTGGCTCCTGCATCTGTCTCCGCTCCAGGCTTTCCTCTCGCCTTCTCCGCCCCTCCCCCGCGCTGTCATTCACCCCGCTCCTCTCCGCTCACAGCCAATGGAGAGACCCGGCCGAAACTGAGAGGCTAGCTCGCACCGGGCTTTTTCGCCCGGTGATTGATGTCCCAGAGTTAACAGCGAGCGAGCAGCCGGAGAGGGGAAGGAGCCGCCGGAGAGGGGAAGAATACGGCGCCCCCTCTCTCCCCCCGCCCCTCGCCTTTAGCCCTTCTGCGCACTTCGCCTCCAAGTCTCCACGCAGCCAGGAGCCGCTGCCGTCTCCGCGCCGCCGCGCGCTGTCCCCGAGCCAAACACAGCGAGTGCCACCGCCCAGGCCCCCCCCGCGGGGCCGGGGTCGGGGGCCAGCATGGAGCACCTGGGTCCTCACCATCTCCACCCGGGCCACGCGGAGCCCATCAGCTTTGGCATCGACCAGATCCTCAACAGCCCAGACCAGGGCGGCTGCATGGGGCCCTCCTCGCGCCTCCAGGACGGAGAATACGGCCTTGGTTGTTTGGTTGGAGGCGCCTATCCTTACGGCGGCGGGGGCCCCGCAGCCGGGCCGGGGGCCGGGGGCGCGGGGGCCTATAGCGCTGGAGGCCCGAGTGGCCCCGGTGGCCCGGCGGGCGGCGGCGGCGGCGCCTGCAGCATGGGCCCGCTGGCCGGCTCCTACAACGTGAACATGGCCTTGGCGGGCGGCCCCGGTCCCGGTGGCGGCGGCGGCGGCGGCGGTGGGGGTGGCGGCGGCGGCGGGGGCGCGCTGAGTGCTGCGGGGGTGATCCGAGTGCCTGCGCACAGGCCGCTAGCTGGAACGGTGGCCCATCCTCAACCTCTGGCTACCGGTTTACCCACCGTGCCCTCCGTGCCTGCCGTGCCGGGCGTCAACAACCTCACCGGCCTCACCTTCCCCTGGATGGAGAGTAACCGCAGATACACAAAGGACAGGTTCACAGGTGAGTCCGGCCCGCGCGCGCCCCGCCTGGCCGCGGCCCCGGCTCTCCTCTACCCCTCCTCTGCCCCGGCGCTCCCCGCAGCCCCCTCTGCGCGCCCGGCCGCCGGGCTCCTCTGGGTGCTTCCCCCAAGTTCAGCCGTCCGCCGCCTCTCTTGCGGAATCGACTCGCTGGAAGAGTTCTCCCAGCCTGGGCCCCTCTCCGTCTCTCCCACAGGATCCCTACTCTGAGAAGTTCTCCCTGACCCCCTCTCGGAGTCCCTGGGCCCAGTCAGGCGGAGGGAAGGGGGTGTAGCTTCGGGACTACCTTCCGCCGGCATTTGTGGCTCGGGGATCTTGGAGAAAGGGGCGCGATGTGAACAAACTGTTTCGTCCGTCCTGGCAGACGTTGTCTGGCCGAGGCGGCGAACCCCAGAATCAGACTCAAGGGAAACAGGTTCCCCACCTTCCTTCCCCTACACACACACACACACTCACTCACTCACTCACTCCGCGCTCCAAGATCCAGTGCCCGTCGCGCTGCCCGACCCGGTAGAGGCCGTGAGCGGGAGTTAAGCCGCAGAGCTGGCCGGCCTTTCTTCCCGGACTGCGGGCCCCGTCCGGGTCAGTGGCAGCGACTAGGCTGAGCCACCCGCTTCATTTTCGTTCTGTCCCGGCTCGGCGTCCTCCGCTCTGGGCCCAGCCTCGTTTCCTCCGGCGTGAATAATGCACCGGCCAGGCCCGTGATCGATCGGCAGCCTAAAGAACCCCTGGGACGATAAACGCATTCGGCGGCGGCCGTCTGCCCTCCTCTCCGCTGCCTGCTCTGCGCCTTGCTTCTGCTCGCCTCGGCTCCCTCCGCTCCTGCTTCCGCTCCTGGCACTCAGCTTTTGCTCCTGCGCGGGTCCTTTTCCACGCCGCCTCATTTCCCGCCGCCCCTAGCGTTCCCTGGATGCGAGACTGCGATCTTCCCGCCAGGCCAGGCCCCCAAGTCCGCTGGGAAACAATCCTGAGTTGAGCCTGGGTTCCTGGGGGGGCCTTAGAGAGAGAGGAAGCAGGAGGCACAGGCGGCTGCCTAGATCGACCACGACGTGGGATTCCCGTGGGGCTCGGGCTCCAGGGCCCAACGGTAGAAGGGGAATAGGCAGTTAAGAGCTAGACCCTGGGCTAGGCTCGTGTTCCAGCCTTGAAACCTTGGCCTAGATTCTGGGTCAGTGGCAAAGAGGGGTTGGGGAAAGCATAAGATCCATTCTGCTCTGGGCCTCAAGAAGGGCCCCTGTGCCCCAGCCAAAGTCCTCTAAGTCCTGGGGAGGTAGGGCCTAGTGCCCCATCCTACTCTCCCTAGCCAGGCCAGGCTAATCTTAAAGGGCCCTGATGGAGCACCACCACCACCCCCAGCCTGGAACCACTGGGAACCCACTGGTGGGTACTCCACACAGCCTCCCCTAACCTTGCTTCAGCCCTAAAGAAGGTTCTGAAGGAGTTTATGGCTGTCACCTTATGCATCTGCCTCTGTGCCTGTGCCTGTCGCCTGTGTGTCAGCTTGTCTGGGTCTATAGACCTCGAATTTGTCCCCTGTTGTATGTGATATGTCTGTATGTTGGTGTGTGAATGAGGCCTCAGGTCAGGATCCAGGATTCCTGGCCTTGACCAAGGATGGTCTCTTACTGTTGAGCAGCTTCTCTGAGGCTGGAGGCCTGGGGCTCTGGGGGGAATGCGACCTTTAGCTCTCCTCGACATGTCCCTCAAAAAGACTGCGTCTGTGTCTGATGGGCACATGGGAGCCTAGGGCTAGGGAGGCCTCTGTGGTGGCAGAGGCGTCGGCCTGGCAGGCCGCTGGGTGGGGGTCCATTTCAGGCCACAGGCTTGGCGCTGAGGGCTGACAGGAGGACCACAGCTCTGCTTTCGGGGTCTAGCCTCTGGGCTCGCTGACTCGCGGGGTGTCGGGCCTGGGACGCCTCCTGACGCTCTGCCGCTTGCCTCTGCCGTCTGTCTGTCTCTCCCGCTCCAGTGGCCCTCTCACCCTTCACTGTAACACGCCGTATAGGTCACCCCTATCAGAATCGGACGCCCCCCAAGAAGAAGAAGCCGCGCACGTCCTTCACGCGCCTGCAGATCTGCGAGCTGGAGAAGCGCTTCCACCGCCAGAAGTACCTGGCCTCGGCCGAGCGCGCCGCCCTGGCCAAGGCGCTCAAAATGACCGACGCGCAAGTCAAAACCTGGTTCCAGAACCGGCGGACAAAGTGGAGGTGAGTTGGCGGGGAGTGGGCAGCACAGTCTCTGGCTCCAGGCCTCTCCTGGGGAGTTCACACTCCCTCGATCCCTGCCTTCCGATGGTTCTGGTTTGGAGGAGCGGACCGCTCTGCTAGGCTCGCGGGGAGTGTGAAGCAACCGTGACCGGAGAGCCCCCGCTGCTTTGCTTTCTGGCTTTCTGGCCATTACACTCAGTGCGGTTGTAGACGCGGCTGGTCTCTGCCGCTGCTTGGGGGATACGTCTGGATTTAAGCACAGTCTACGCCGTCCGGGCTTCCGAGATCAGCGAGTCCTGAGGGACTTTTTGTTTGCGCAAACTTACGGGTACAGAGATGCCTTTTCTATCCTGGAGACCGGAGGCAGAATAGCACGCTCCCTGTTTCTGCGCCCCAGCCGGGGCTCCTGCTAGAGCGCCCGGGGCCCCAGACCTTGAGCCTGGGCCCTGCTGTCTCTCTCCTCCCTAGACACCTGGCCTGGGCGCAGCGGGTGCCCCACCCGGGAAGGGGAAAATCAATCTGCGCCGCCTGCGGCGGGGTTTCCGAGGGTCCCACTGAAAGGGGGATCAATCAGGAGCAGATGGGTATGTGTAAGAGAAACATTTTCTCTTATCCCGTCACACACCCACAGCTACACTCGCTTCCCCCACAAGCAGGCGCTTTCTCCGGTTGAACCCTTTTGCACCCCTGCATCCTCCCGTACATTTGGCCCGCGTGCTGGGTTCCACACACGCTGGGAGTTTCTTGCTAGCTCAGGTCTCGGGCGGGAGAGCGAAAGAGTCTGGGCGAAGTCCCCGGCGCCGGGCAGGGAGGGCCTGGGCCCGGAGGAAGGAATTGGAGTTTCCTCTTTTTCTGAATGAAGGCGAGGAATCTGCCTGAGATTCCGCCACCGTGGCCACAAAGGAAGCTACTGCCCCGAGAGTCTGCTCCCCCCCTCCCCACATTCCTGCTGCTGGGGAAGGGGTGGGGGACGCAGCTCAGACCTCTGGAAAGCTAGGGAGGGAGCGAGGACTGGAGCGGGGAGGGGGAAACGCACTCTGGTTCCCAACGCCATCCGGATCGGAGGCTACAGCCTAGGGGAGGGAGTCAGGCAAGCCCTGGGGGGTGGGGGGCGCACAGAGAAAAATAGTATAGCAGGCTTAGAGAAACTGATACACAAGGTGGGGGGCAAAGATAAAGACCCCACCCAGGGAGAAAATAAAACAGAGAGAGGGTGGACTTCCCTGGTGGTGAAGTCTTATGTATAATAAAGAAAAGCAATAGATGACTGAAACCTTTATTTTCGTTTCAAACAAATTCCCTTAAATTCTGAGAGAAGGAGGAGGTGGGGTGAGAGAAAAACCAGAGAAAAAGACACAAAGACTAAAGGAAGAGAAATAGTTTAAAAATCAGGGAAGAACGGGCAGGCGAGAGACAGAGCGAAAAGGCAAGAAGGGGCGGCGAGAAGAAGGTCGGCGTCCGCTGCTGGGAGAGGCCCTCTCGCTCGCCTTCATCGATCGCCTACAAATTGCTTCTGGAGGCCCCGGGGACTCCCATTAGGTCTGTCCACCTTAGAGACAGACGTTTGAAATCAGTTGACGGGGTGGAGGGGAGGCATTAAATGGAATGTGAGTCATCGCCTCCCTGGGCTGCCTCGGAGGAAGCCAGTCGGTCCGGCGGGAATCCCGGCCGGCACAGGGCTTGGCGCAGGAGGTCAGGAGCCTGGGAGAGGTTCGCTGAGAGAAAGGGGGTGAAGAGGTCCATCATGGCAGCTCACATCCACTCGTCCCTGCCTCTGCCCTGGACTGATGGGAAGGGTGAGACCGCTCAGACTTGGGAAGGCTCCTGGTCTTCCTCGGGTCTGGGAAGAAGCAGAGTGCCATCCTGGCTCTGCTGTGCCGTCCAAGGCCAGTGAGGGTGTGGGCCCTGCCTGGAGCCAGAGAGTCCCAACTGCTTGGGCCTAGCGGATCTCCCTACAGCTCCCCCAGAGTACCCCCTATCTACTTTTGTGGTTTCCAGTCTTTGTCGGAGTCAGAACCCTCAAGATAGGGGAGTGCTTTCAAGGGCCCCCAGCTAGAATTGGAGGCCTCGAAGGGGAGCTGCGCTCTCCCAGGCGGTCTCACGGGAGCGCACCCGAAGCGTGGGTAACGGTTTGTCCCCGGTGCAGGCGGCAGACCGCGGAGGAGCGTGAGGCCGAGAGGCAGCAGGCAAACCGCATCCTCCTGCAGCTGCAGCAGGAGGCCTTCCAGAAGAGCCTGGCTCAGCCGCTGCCCGCGGACCCGCTGTGCGTGCACAACTCCTCGCTCTTCGCCCTGCAGAACCTGCAGCCGTGGTCTGACGACTCGACCAAGATCACCAGCGTCACTTCCGTGGCGTCGGCCTGCGAATGAGCCTATCTGCTACTCTCTGAGAGACCCGAGACCCGGGCCCAGCCAAGGGGTCTCGAGGCCCCCGAGAGCCGGGACTCTCGCCCGCCCTCCGCCGCAGACTGCACGCCTCCGGGGATCGCGGCGCCCCTCCGCACCGGCCCGTGCGCTCGCGCCGACGCCGTTTTCTTTGGGGTGGAAAAGAAGAAGAGAGCGCCCAGGAAAGGGACGCGCCGCCGTCTCCCAGATGCCTACGCGGTCCCGCGCCTGCTGGAACTCTTCAGAGTCCTCCGTTTGCGTCTATTTTATTTTATTCTGATTTTTAACGTGGGACTGAGAGAGGCAGAAGAGGTGGTGGAAGAAGAGCTGGTGGGGTCCCTAGAGGACAGCATGAGCTGTCATTTGAACTTGCCCTGGGGAGACCCCCCTTCTCTGTTCTCCACTCCCCGTAGTAGCCAGCCCACACAGACGTGATTTCACTGTCCCTCCTGGTGTCTCCCCACAGTCACGCACAGGGGCCCTATGGCAGAGTGTCTTGCACACACAGGGTCATAGCCTCCACCCCCTTGGCCCTTACAATCAGGGGTGGCCCGGAGTCATTCTGAACAGCATGGCACTTCTCACCAAAACAAGGCCACAGTCACACTGTGACACACCATCGCACACACAACAGCCACAACAGCGTCACTTGGCCTGCCAGACCCCTATCACACACCCTAGCCGCACCCAGGTACGCACAGGCAGGTTTCCACACAAAAAGCCTATTTCTCCAGATCCTGTTCGTAGGGGGGGTTTAAGTTATGCACTTATAAGGTGTTTTCTGTGTAACCTTTTTATAAAGTGCTTGTGTAATTTATGTGAAAAAAAATAATAAAACCCTCCGAATCCGGAGTCAAGGCTGCCTGCTCCTTGCTGAGCCCAGCACCTTGCAGCTACTTGGGTCAGGTGTGAGCTGGTGCAGCCAGGGCAGCCCCTTGTACTTAAGTTTGAAGGACATCTTGGGGTCAGGACCTATCAGATTCTGGAGAGAGGAAAGGAGGAGGAGGAGAAATGAAGAGAAGGCAGCACTGAGAAAAGTTGGGAGAGCCAGTGTCTTCTGGGACAGTTAGTGCTCAAGATTTGTCTTTGGGAGTGAGAGTTATGTGTGTGCACTGTATGTTTGTGATGGTGTGGACAATCAGGATGTTATACTGACAATGAATGTTTGTATAGTAAGTGTTCAAGTGTGTAATTTTGTATGCAGTTGTGTGTGTTTATTTTGCTTAAGTTGTGAATCAAAACTACCATTATATATACAGACTTGTATTGGTATGTGTGTGATCAGTGTTAATGTGGCTTTTTGGGTAGTTGTATAATCACCCACCAACATCCATGATTGTTAGTGAATCAGTTGCTAATATTTGTGAGAGTACATATTAGTTTCTCCTTATTAATCTATTTTTGTGTTAAATGTATGAATGTTTATGGTTGTATATCATCTATAACTGGTTGTATGTAATCATGTGTTAGAGGTGTATTTCATTGTATGAGTGAGACTTATCTAGGATTGTATATAATTGGGGGAGTGAATTAATGGGGAGTATGGATCACTGTGAATGACATGTCTCTGTGGTGAGTGTGTATGGTACTGTGTGAGTGGGTATAATTGTACACTGCTGGGGTACATGATGGTGGGGTGTGCAGATCCACTGTAGGGGTATACACATCTGCTAGGAGTTTGAGGTTCTAGGACATTACCCAGCAAGCTGCAGAGATTGGAGCATTCTATGAGTAATCGGACCAGTGTCTTCTGTGGTGCTTGAAGCAAGACTTCCCAGCTCCCAGACTAGCCTGGCCTAGGAGGGATCTGAAAAACTGACTTCCCGGTGGGACCTTCAGGGAGGCCCCAGACCACTTTAGCCACAGTACACAACACTCCCCATAACATTTAGTCCCCCACGTACCAGACCAATGTCAGGATATACAAAACTGACTTAAGCCTGCTTTTCTGGAAGAAGCTAGGTGGTAGAGGCTTTGGGAAACATGCCATCCTGGGGTAGTGGAGTGGGGACATAGGCTGCTCTTTCTTTAGGGTGGAAGAGTGAGAGAACTTTGTGGCTAAAAACTGTTCATGTAGGCAGAGCAGTCTGAGTGTGCACCCAGACTGGGGTTGAGGGCAGGAGAGTTATGGAAACCATCAGAGCCCTCATCCTGGCCTAGACTGCCCTCTTGGCTCTGCCATATCACAGGATAAAGCACAACAACCTCCAAACCCAAAGAGGCCCAGGAGGAAATTTGGCTGAGTGGGGAAGGGGCACAGCTTGTCCACCCCTATCTGTGCTCCTCTTCGAGCAGGATCTGGGCAGGAGAGGAGGATTCTGAGTCCAAAGGACTTCCAAGATGGAGGGGCTACCCCAACCCCAGACCCACCGGGTGACCAGGCCAGACCCTGACAGTGTGTGGGTTGAGGGGAGAAAGTTCTGGTCTCAAAGCCAGGTCTGCAGTGGGCCTCCTGCCTGTGCCGGCGGCGGCATCCAGTACCGGGCCAAGCGAAATCAAAATCCGGAAATGGCCTCCTGGAACCGCAGAATTCTGCTCCTCCTACCTGGGTAGGTCTGGCTCTCCCTCCCCTCCTGCTGAGACTGGAGCTGCCCAGCCCAAACCATTTTCATTTGGTGCGATCTCTCCACCATTTGCGTCTTTAAGAGGCACCTTCAGGGCCTGCCGGTTGCTGTATTCCAGAGTTGCCGACCCCAGGGGAAACTGGGGCCTTCCTCCCACCTCTTGACTCCTGGGACCCTTCAGGCTGGGCGCCCGGGGGCTCCTGGATATTTTCTGGCCACAGACTGTCTAGCCGAGGCAGGAACGGGGAATGGCTGTCTGGCTCAAACTCAACCCCCAAACAGGCTCCCAAGAACCCCGACTCTTCACCAGCACGCCCTCACCCCTGCTCTGGCGAGACATAGCAGGCAAAATCAGGCATAACACACCTCCCCCCGCCAAATACCTCCTACGTCCCCCGGTCTTCAACAGCTGGGGTCACACTCAAAACGGCCCGGGGCCAGGCCCCTCGGCTCTCGGACCCTGTCCAGCTTATTCGGGCCTCTCGGAGAACTAGGCTTCCGCACGCCGGAATCCCGGGCGCCCATCGCGGGAGGCCACCCGACTCCCCTCCCCTCCGCGCTCGGCTCCCGCTCGCTGTTTCCGGGGCTCCCAGGCCGCCCCGGTCGCGCGCTCTCCCGGGGCCCCTCCCACGCGCTAGGGACCCTGGGCGAGGCGTCCCAGGGGTGTGGGCACACTCCCCGGGGTACTGGGGCCCTCGGCGCTGAAGGACGGCGCACGACTCCCCTCTCTCGGTCGGGAATTCGTTGGGACCGAATCTCGGTGAATCCCGCGTCGGCCGAGGGCCGCGGCGAGGACAGGCCGGGATGGCGGCGGGGCCCGCACACCCCGTCGTCCCAAGGGGACGCGGGCTGGAAGGGAGGGGGGCTGCCAGGGTCACAATCAGGGCCAACTACCCGCCGCACAAAGAAAGCTCACAACTCCGATCTGCCACCGCTCCTGCAGGCGAGGGCCTGTCTCTGTTCAGAAATAGAAAAGGAACAAATGATCCGAATAATGGTGTGTAGAGATGCGGAGGGAGAAGAGGAATTAACGAACCTGTCTGAGCAGAAAGGGTCACATCCTTCCTTGGCTTGAGTGAGCCGACTGCACTGACCAAATTCTGCGGTGAGTGAGCCTTGATCACCCCCTCAGACATGGCTGACTGGGTGGTGGCCTTCTGGGGCCCAGAAACCCAAGCAGGGCTGGGGTCCTAGCGCCCCGTACAGTGCCCCCGCCCCCTGAGGTGGCACACACAGAATCTGGCCTAACCTGTTAACGATAATAGCGGCTTTGTGTGGCCAGATCCATGCTTGGGAGCTCTATGGGCACGGTCTGAGCACTGCCTCATGAAGCCCCCACCGCAGTGGCAGGTATGGCATCTGCACTGGGCCCAGGACTCAGACAGGCATCCTGTTTGTGCTGTGAGTGACTTGCAGGTGGGCAGGCCGGTTCCAGGTGTATGATACAGTTATGCAGGGATCTCCAGGCTGTGCAGAATTGGGGCAGCTGGGACTCAGAGGACACGCTGCAAGGGGCAGTGGGCTAGAGCTGGGGCCCCAGAGCTGCACTAAGGACCCCTCAGGCCAGATGCTGGAGGAAACCGCCTGCCTTCTGCTCTGTTTCTCCAACTTTGCTCAGGAACACTTGCCCCCCTCCACTTGCCCCCTGCCCCCCACACATACTTGCCCCCCCCAGCCCCCCACACACACTTGGCCCCCACTGCCCCACACACTTGCCCCCCCCACTTCCCTTTTACTCCTCCCAGACCCCCCCCCGCTCAAGAGTCGGACACGACTGAGCGACTGAACTGAACTGAGACCCCTGCTCCTAAGCAGCTTCTCACTCTCCTAGGCCTTCCTAATCAGCTCAGAGTTTGGAGCCCAGCAGCCAGGTCAAAGCCTGGGTAGCTAAGAGGAGCTGCTGGCGCGATTTTCCCGCATAGTTCGAATCTGCTGCCGCCCTGGGAGATCTCTGGAACGGCCCACCTGCACTCACTCCTGGATTCCTTATCCTCGGGAGTCTGATAGGAACAGGCTGAGTGAGTGAGAGGTCTGCAGCCAGTTCAGATTTTCCAAGGAGCTCAGAGCAGACTCGGAATATGGTGTTTGCAACTGGGGCGTGGGAAGCCAGGGTGGAGGTGAGAGTGGGGAAAGAGGGAAAGGGAGGAGCAGAGGGGAGGAGAAGGGAAAGGCATCCGGGGGATGGTGAGTAGAGGGAGGGATGAGTGCCCATGTTGTGTTGAAGGATGGGTACAAAATCACATCCTCTCACCCTCAGCCTGCGTTGTTGTGGACAACCTCACATACCGCCTCCAACTACACAACGACTGGAGTGTGCGATGTTACACAAGACAAGCTACAGGTGTGCTGTTCTATGAGCGTGCATACACAGCACACACACACATGCACGCATACAGTCTCCACTGCTGCGTTTGCAGTTAC